ATAAACATGTCAACAACCATTCGACATTGTCCATAGGCCTACAACATAATATCACCCATAATTATTCAGACAATTCTCGACTATACCGATTAATTACTTATCTAAATGCTTATTTATAATTACAAACTTCTACAAATTGTTATAATATAATACTACATCATCATTATCATTGATATTATTATTATTATTATGAATCAAGCATTATTATAAGATCATCATGTCATCATCATACTTCACCACCACAAAACATCATGGCGATTCAACGCGGGAAAGCTAACTCTATCCTAACTTGGGTACTAGAATTATCCTTCTTATCCTTCATTTTACTCCTTATAAATATAGTTCATTGCATTATATTTATAACACTTCGAACGGCACATCAAAAGGAGTTGCGGTTCAAAAGTTATGGAGTTTTCAAGTTTTCTAAAATACTGTCAAACAGTGAGCAATCGATTGCACTAACATGTAAATCGATTGCACCTTGTTCCAGAGGCCAAAAATCACGTTTTTAAGCAGTGCAATCGATTTCTCTTCTGCTGCAATCGATTACTTACTAAAACAGGAGCAAAAATCCCAATTTTTAAGCAGTGCAAATCGATTGCTCTTCTGCTGCAATCGATTGCACCCTGTGAAAAACAGTTTTACAAATTCTGTAAAGTGCAGTACGAAAACCCATTTGTTTCAATTCCAAAGACACAAACTTCATGAAATAATACACAATCAAACATCCAATTATCATTGCTATCAACATACATCAATTACCACAATTACACCAACATCAACATAAAATAATTCTCCAACCATAGAGTCATCAATTGAATTTCTGCAACTTTATCAGGAAACACAACATTGCTGTAGCAATAAAACAACAACCTTTCACACAAAATAACACACGATAATTTAATATAACCAACCCCACATATCATTTATCATATACCCAATTATAGGGAAATAATTTCATCCTTACCTTGGATTGAATTCATCTCTAAGAAACTTCAATGAAATTTCTGGGAATTTGACACTAGTAGCAACTTCCTCTTGTTCATATTCTCCTCTCAAAATCTTATTCCTCTTTCTCTTCTTTTTCTTTTCCTGATAATACTATACTCTCTTTCTCCTCTAATTTTCTAATAATAATATAATATTATTCTATTAGTCCAACTAAATCCAATTGGGCCTAAATGTTACACCCACTCTTACTTCATACAACCATATAATTAAGCCCAACTAATTCTATTCTTATTTCTAATAAATTAATACTATAATATTTCATTAATCCCAACATAAGAATTATTATTAATCAACTAATTAATTAATTGATAATAATCCAACAACTTTTACCAATAATTCTTAACACCCCGTAACATCACAAATAATCCAAAATATAATTTAATTAAATAATTAATCAAATTAACGGGCGTTACAGAATTTGTTCTCTGCAACAAAGGTCCCTTCTCTATTCTAAAAAATAATCTTAAATAGTCCCTAATACATCATTGTTGTCAGAAATATCCAAAATACCCTTCGGGGGTGGCTAAACCACCAAGTTGCCCAAAAAATCACATTTTCAACGTCCTGGCCAATACATACCGTGTCACCTGACACAAGCACCAGTGTTAGCCTATGCCCATCGTTCCAACAAAACCTCTCGCCCAGACCTTCTGACACGGGCCGTGTCAGTTGACCCGGAAACCCGTGTCAGCCTCTACCACTTCTCTCAAACTACAATTATGCATCCTCTCCTAACACGGCCCGTGTCAGGTGACACGGGTGGCCGTGTCAGGACCCCTGTAACCTCTAGTATTCTTCTTCTCAATACCAGAACTCCCATTTTCCTTGTGCAAGTCCATTGAGTCTTTTTTCCTGAATCTGACAACATATAACACTACCAAGAAAACACATAAAATGCAAAAAAAAAGATATAAACTTATACTAAAAACACTGAGAGAATGGAGAATTGAAAAAGTCAAATAAATTTAAAAAATAATAGACAAATGAACCAAAGTGTTACTGATTCCCCATATTCATGCCGAATAAATGAATGAAAACTAGTAGAATTGGTGACCGATCACAACCCCAAACTTAGCTCATTGCTTGTCCTCAAGTAATGCATGCGACAGTAGATAGGCCACCCCTGAATTCATTCTTACCACAATACAACCAATGTCTTTTTCAACTCGCTTTTCACCCTTCCGATTAGGCTTCTGGTGTCTCGATCCAAATTGTCCGCTACACTTCCACATCAAAGTATTTCTTCACCTGTAAGCTTTTTCACACTTGTCAAAAAATATCTCAGGGTTAAAGAGTTTTTTTCACTCACAATTCATCATATGAAATATTAGCTCTTAACTTTGAATAAATTCTACCTTCATCACACATATAGATTGCACACACTTTTTGAGGTTTTCGGGTTGTAACGGGGCTTAGGTACGGTGGGATAAACAAAGAAATTGGGTGTACTAAGGGTTTTAGGCTCAACATTCATTTTATTGTTCTTGTCTCTATGCTTATTTTATCATAATGGGAAATCAACACCTCTTTTTTTCCGACTCTATGGCTTAATTCAATTTCATTGAGTCTCTTTGCATAGACAAGTGCGTCTTTGATTCTATTTTTTTTGTTTCATGGTATGCTTGTGTCTAAACATTTTTAATATTTTTTTTATTTCTTTTATGTCATTTTTCTCACTTGCCCTTCTCACCTCAGGTGTACCACCCCAAACTTAGAATTTTGCACAGAATAAAAAATCTACAACATTTATGCCGAGCAGGGTAGGAAGTGTTTGGCCATGGGTTAAAAATATATGGTCATAACAAACAATAGGATACGGGCTCAATAGGGGTTAAAGAAGGATAAACATAAAAATATAGGACGGCTAGAAAGACTGAGAGTGATATAGAAACAATGTGCCTCGGTGTGTGTCATCTTGTAATGCTATATGAGTATAACTTACATAAAATCAGATTGATAAGGTAATACCTGACTGAACTCTCATGATGATACTTTTTGTGTTTGGCTTTTTGTACTATCACCATGTTGGGTAAAACTTCTAGGTTCCCAAGTACTTCTCGTGTACCGTTGCTTCTTTTCTGGTTCGGGTGTCCAATACTCCAATCTCAGTATGGTGTCTTCAAGTTGCATCCAACAATACTTTTTGGCTGTATCAACTTCCATAGGTGCCTGGGAAACCAATATGGGTCGCGTCTTTTCATCCACAAACTACAAGCCTCATCATTCATCCGACATCAATACCCTCAATTTGTAACACACTAAAAACGAAACATAACGAAAAATATCGAAATTAAAAATACTAAAAAAAATTGAAAACTAAAAACAATAATAGTAAAACAATAAAACCCCCAACACTTGAACTAAACATTGACCCCAATGTTTCAGAACAAGCTCGAGGTAGGTGACTCACAGAGGGAAATGCAACACATGCTGCTGCCTCCTAGCTTTCACCAGTAAGACTCCCTTTTTATTACCCGCTGACAAAATGAAACAAACACAAAACTAAAAACTAAGTTATTAAAAATGTGGGTTTCCTCCCACGAAGCGCTTCGTTTAACGTCACATGGCTCAATGGTTCATCCCCTTATGGGGGTATTTCCTCTTCCACACCTTTTTACTTGCCCTTTCCGTAACCCATAATTCATTTAGCTCATAAGTATGAACCACTCCTTGCCTCAAGTCGCTCCCATCTCCCATCTATACTCCTTAATGTTCCTTTTTATTTTTCTTCTTAGATTTTTGAATGAACTTAGGAATTTTGACAGACACTGGAGCTGATGCCACCTGAGAGCTTATGCTGGAGACTTTTTCTAGGGGTGGTTTCAAACTTATGTTGTCTCCTACTAATTTGATCATACTAGCTGAAGCTTGATTCTTTTCACCCGCACCCTACTTTTTGATCTCCAACACCTTCAAAGTTATCTCCTCCTCAAATGATTTCAGTGTCAGATTATCTGTCTAGATATCAAAATTTCATCGACTAGTCAACATAAATGATCGACCAAGAATGATAGGAGTCTCTTAATCTTCAGGTATGTCCATGATCTGAAAATCAACTGGGAAAATAAAATTGTCAATTTCTACTAATACATCTTCAACTATCCCATATGACTACTTGATGGTGTGATCAATAAATTTCAATTTTGTCCCACTCCCGCTTATCTTCTCAATACCAAGCTTCTTGAAAATCGATAATGAAATTAAACTCACACTAGAGCCCGAATCAACCAGAATCCTCTTGAAAGTTCTGTCTTTTATGGTGCATGGTATTGCAACTGACCCCGAATCCTTCTGCTTGATAGGTATTTTCCTCCCAGGTGCAATTACACACAATTTATCATCACAGGGTACCGATCCCTCTCATGTTGATCTCTTCTTTGGTAATACCTCATTCATGAATTTCTAATACAAAGGAATTTTCTCGAGTGCTTCAAAGAATGTTATATTCATCTCTAGATTTTTGAATAATTGTACAAAATTATCAAACTCTTTCTCTTTTGTGTCCTTCTTAGCCACTCAAGATGAATACATCAACTTGATCGGTGATTTAGTTTTCTCTTCAACTGGCTTCACAAATGATACCACTTCTTCTTGTTTTCTCTTATTCTCTCTCACTTCCAGATCTACTTCTATGACACTATCATCAAATTTTACCTCATCTTTATTTTCTTCAGCAGCTTTCTCATTCCTTGTTGTGACAACATTAACATTCTCATGATTTTTTTTATTTTCTTGTGCTCGCAACGCTACCTATTATGCAATCTGTCCCATTTGAACTTCCAAATTTTTGATTGCAACTGTGGTATTCTTGTAATTACTCCCTGTCTCTTCTTGAAATTGAGAGG